TTTATGTATGTCTTTTGAATATGAGCAGGTGGAACTATACTTAGATCATTTGTGACCAAATCAACATTAAGCTGACAATACAGACTACAGAAGTCTACAACAATACAATGATAAAAAATAATTTTCAGTACTTTGACAGACAAAACTTGAGCAAAAAACATGATCCGAAATAAATGCCTCGTCAGTTCAATTTGGTACCAATTTTGTGAACACACTACAAAAGGAGATTGAAAGCAGAACATAATAAAGGGCTTCATCAACAACGAAATTTAAAGTTTTTGCAGATTAGTTTATATTGAGGCGGTAAATTTTCAAAGTCTTAATGCATTTGATACCAACTAGCATACCAAAGGGAAATATAGACGTGGAGATGGTAAAAAGGAGCAAGGGTTTGCGACCATGCTCGTCTGAAAGTTGACCCAACAGTGGAATTACCATCATCTTGAAAACTCCAACAATCTGTAGAAAAAATTACATCATTAAATTAAATCTAAAACTCATTAAAAATGAAATCAGACCTCCTCTTTATACTCCCCTCACACACACACCGAATATGTCAAGTAGGGCAGATGTACAGGGAAAATAAAGAATCAGTGAAATGAAATGGACCAATTATTAGTGAAACTGCCATAGTCAAAATGCGAAGCAGATGTCAGTTTGGTTCAACAAGAAAGATGGCAATAGATATAGGGTTGTGATGAGAGCTCTGAAAACTATCTCCCTTCTCCCCTTTCTTCATGTTGCCACTAAGGTAATGATTGATGACAATTTCAGCATAAATTTCCCAACCCTTGAAAACTTTTATGTAATACCATATTTCTTCAATTGCATGATTCCAAGGCCTCGGAAGCTCATCCTTTCAATTCCCCACCAACCCAGAAGATGACAGAAGAAAAAGCAGAAAGAGCAAGGGTACATGCATGATGAGATTATATGAGTACCGTTTGTTGAAGGCCGTTGATATAAATAGCTTTGGAGCAAGTTGAGTCTCCAGGGCACAAAGCAGAGGTTGTGACATCAACAAGAACAGAAACTGTCATCTCCTCAGCTATCCAGTGGATGGTAAGTGGCAGCAGCAAGTGAAGCATAGGCCTCATTTCTCCGAGGCCTCTCAGCCATGGTATGTCTGTGCCCTGCAACATCAAACGTTGTACCGTGTTCTGGGATATCGCATCCAAGGAAGTGGATTGTTGTGTCAGAAACTTGTTCTCCGGCCTCTATCTATATTCTCAGATAATAATTTGTTTCTATTTATATAATTTTCAAGAAGTTGTAGGAGAAATTTTTAAAAATTAAATCATTTTTTTAATATTCTAAAATCATTTAAGCCGTCACATTAACTTTTTTGAGAAGATAATTTAAAGTTATAAAATAGAGTTATAAAGTAGTGTCGCGGCATCTTTGTAATTTCAAAAGTAGTGTTCGAAGTTTTACCAAAATATTAGTAAGATAAAACATATAAATTGTAAATCTTATCTTATCCATTGATTTTGAAAGGTTTAATGTCTCAATAGGTTCCTATTTTTGTTTAAAATTTGAAATAAGTCTCTTTATTTTTTGGGTTGGGTCCTTATTTTTGTTAATTTGATGCAAATAAATCTTTTTCGTCAATTTCATCAAACGACGTTAATGAATGTGTGACGTGACCTTACACGTGTCAATACTGTTCTCAGGCCACGTCACACATTCATTAATATCGTTTGATAAAATTGACGGAAAGGATTTATTTGCATCAAATTAACAGGATCAATTGAAACGCCAAACAATAAAAGAATCTATTTCAAATTCTGAACAAAAATAGAAAGATATTAAACCATTTTGAAATTACAGCGCGAATTCCACAATAAAACTTGGTAGTTGGGTGACAAACAAAAATTTTGATTTCAAAAGTCTCTGTCGTGGTCATTCCAACGGAAAGACCCATCTAACTAACTAACATTAAAAGCTAAATAAATCAAAATTAAAAAAAATGTTTAATTAAAATCAATAAAATTTTGGAAATTTTGAAATATTGACCCAACATAATTTAAACTTAACACGTTTATTTTTATTTATAAATGTATGACGTGACTTATATCAATAATTTTAATTTTCATAATGTATTACGTGACTCTAATTTTTATATATTTACGAAAAATATAGTTAATTAAATGTACTTTTCAGTAACTATTGTTCCAACTCTTCAAATTTAGACATACTAATAAATAAAATTTTAATATTTTCAAAGTATTTTATTAAAAATCTGTCATTGTCTCTCCTTAGAACTAAAATAAAAAAAAACGAATTAATTTTGTCTAGATCACATAAAAATATATATTACTTAAAGATTTTTCTTTCACTGTTTTCAACTTTATACAAAATTTTAATTTTATATATGATACATGACATGATGAAATGTTTTTTGTTCCTTAATGACTACATATTTTATTTTATTTTATGATTGATATTATATTATAACTTTATATATTTTATTTCCTACCAAAATTTATATATATTTCATTCCTTTTTCCTCAAAACATATGGAAATACATTTCTAATAAATTGAAAAAAAAAATCAGGACACATAATAATAAAGTATAAGGTCATAAGAAGATTGTATTAAAACGGAGAAAAGGGGAAAAAACATAAATAGGAAAATTAAATAAGAAGCACTAAAATGCATTAATCTAAATTCTAAAAATAGTTGATGGAGTTGTTGAGTTTGTTCAAATTTTTTAAAGAACAAAAAAATCAAACTGGTTCCGATTAATGCTTCTTAGTTCAACGTGAAGAACAAATTAATGACATTATCTTGAATTAACTTGATTTACATTGTGCGAATAACAGTTCAGTCAATATACTGAAATTTATTTATAAATATTAAATAAGAGCTTTAGCATTTGATTTATAATATTAATAAGTATTACTATTTACTAAGTTATTATACTTCTTCTGATAAATATAAGATTACTTGTTTTAAAAAAATAATAGTGGAGGATATTGACTTAGTCAATTAAGAATTATTTAGCGTTGACAAAACTGAATGTCACCCATTTGCATGCTGCACACAGCAAGAAACACCCTTTCATCCTGAAAACTATAATGCAAGTGGTTTTTTACTAAAATCTTGTTGCAGAGTATAATTTCCAAACAAGGATTCATGTTTTTATATGCATACTGCACACCTTGTATTCATTTATTTTTGTAAGCAAGAAACACCCTTTCATCCTGAAAACTATAATGCAAGTGGTTTTTTACTAAAATCTTGTTGCAGAGTATAATTTCCAAACACGAAGGATTCATGTTTTTTATATGCATACTGCACACCTTGTATTCATTTATTTTTGTAAGCAGTAACTTTTTTGTTCTCATTTTCATTGACTTTGCAGACTTCACTTACACGATTTATATGATATTACACTCAGATAAAATTAAAAAAGAAAGCTCTTTTTTTTTTTGAAACCTGAAACCATTGAACAGTAAATCAGATTCATTCCCAAAGGACAAGTACAGAACATTTATGAATAATATGATGTAGCATTGATAACACAGACATACAGCAAAAATGTACTTTTCAGGAAGAAACCGAGCCAGTAAATCCCCTAGAACATGTGAAGCAGAAAGGAGACCACTAATCCAACTAAATACTGCTGCCCTTCTGCTTTCGCTGACAACATCTGCCTGACAGAAAAAGTATACAGGGTGCAAATAAAATCCTTTACCGAATTATGTTGATAATTAGTTAAGAAAAAAACCTCACCGCATATGCAACAGCAATGCAAAAAATACTGCCTTGACTTATTATGTTTGAAATTGTGCGTAGCGCATAGTAGGCATAGACAAATCCCTCGGACTGACGCCAGACAAGTAAAACTGCAATAAGCATATACACCGAAGAAAGTACATGAAAATCCATAAGCAAACACACCAACATGGAAATAGAGAAATCATCACAAGTTTCTATACGTTTACTGAGGAGGTCTGTTACAAAGTAATGAATAATTTGCTATAAATCAAGAGATGAAGAGATATTTGTGGTTACATGTTTTTGTAAAGGCTATATAACAGGCAAGCCTCTATGTAAGAGAGAAGAGGGTGGGGCACAAAGATGAGTGACCAAAAGATTTCAACTAAAAACTCTCAGTTTGATGGTCTATATTATAATAATTGGAATACGTTGATGGAAAGTCTTCTATGTGCCAGGGGTCTATAAAGCTTGGTTGAAACTAGTGTTGAGGAGCCTGTGAAGGGGCTATGTTGACTAATGGAATGTTGCAACTGTTGGAGAACACAAGCAAAGGATCATAAAGTTAAACATTATCTTTTTCACCTTCTATCTTTTTTTGGATCTTTTGTTCAATCACTGTTTAGATTAATTAAATGGATGAAAATAACATTCACTTTTCCTGTCGATTTAAATTTTCTGTCCAATGCTTAAATTCTAGTTTGAAGTATAACAACAACTTGACATCACCAACATGTTATATTGAGCAAAATGTTGAGTTCGCATATTTTTATGTATGTCTTTTGAATATGAGCAGGTGGAACTATACTTAGATCATTTGTGACCAAATCAACATTAAGCTGACAATACAGACTACAGAAGTCTACAACAATACAATGATAAAAAATAATTTTCAGTACTTTGACAGACAAAACTTGAGCAAAAAACATGATCCGAAATAAATGCCTCGTCAGTTCAATTTGGTACCAATTTTGTGAACACACTACAAAAGGAGATTGAAAGCAGAACATAATAAAGGGCTTCATCAACAACGAAATTTAAAGTTTTTGCAGATTAGTTTATATTGAGGCGGTAAATTTTCAAAGTCTTAATGCATTTGATACCAACGAGCATACCAAAGGGAAATATAGACGTGGAGATGGTAAAAAGGAGCAAGGGTTTGCGACCATGCTCGTCTGAAAGTTGACCCAACAGTGGAATTACCAGCATCTTGAAAACTCCAACAATCTGCAGAAAAAATTACAGCATTAAATTAAAACTAAAACTCATTAAAAATGAAATCAGACCTCCTCATTATACTCCCCTCACACACACACCGAATATGTCAAGTAGGGCAGATGTACAGGGAAAATAAAGAATCAGTGAAATGAAATGGACCAATTATTAGTGAAACTGCCATAGTCAAAATGCGAAGCAGATGTCAGTTTGGTTCAACAAGAAAGATGGCAATAGATATAGGGTTGTGATGAGAGCTCGGAAAACTATCTCCCTTCTCCCCTTTCTTCATGTTGCCACTAAGGTAATGATTGATGACAATTTCAGCATAAATTTCCCAACCCTTGAAAACTTTCATGTAATACCAAATTTCTTCAATTGCATGATTCCAAGGCCTCGGAAGCTCATCCTTTCAATTCCCCACCAACCCAGAAGATGACAGAAGAAAAAGCAGAAAGAGCAAGGGTACATGCATGATGAGATTATATGAGTACCGTTTGTTGAAGGCCGTTGATATAAATAGCTTTGGAGCAAGTTGAGTCTCCAGGGCACAAAGCAGAGGTTGTGACATCAACAAGAACAGAAACTGTCATCTCCTCAGCTATCCAGTGGATGGTAAGTGGCAGCAGCAAGTGAAGCATAGGCCTCATTTCTCCGAGGCCTCTCAGCCATGGTATGTCTGTGCCCTGCAACATCAAACGTTGTACCGTGTTCTGGGATATCGCATCCAAGGAAGTGGATTGTTGTGTCAGAAACTTGTTCTCCGGCCTCTATCTATATTCTCAGATAATAATTTGTTTCTATTTATATAATTTTCAAGAAGTTGTAGGAGAAATTTTTAAAAATTAAATCATTTTTTTAATATTCTAAAATCATTTAAGCCGTCACATTAACTTTTTTGAGAAGATAATTTAAAGTTATAAAATAGAGTTATAAAGTAGTGTCGCGGCATCTTTGTAATTTCAAAAGTAGTGTTCGAAGTTTTACCAAAATATTAGTAAGATAAAACATATAAATTGTAAATCTTATCTTATCCATTGATTTTGAAAGTTTTAATGTCTCAATAGGTTCCTATTTTTGTTCAGAATTTGAAATAAGTCTCTTTATTTGTTGGGTTGGGTCCTTATTTTTGTTAATTTGATGCAAATAAATCTTTTTCGTTAATTTCATCAAACGACGTTAATGAATGTGTGACGTGACCTTACACGTGTCAATACTGTTCTCAGGCCACGTCACACATTCATTAATGCCGTTTGATAAAATTGACGGAAAGGATTTATTTGCATCAAATTAACAAAAATAAAGATACAATTGAAACGCGAAACAATAAAAGTTTAATCTATTTCAAACTGAACAAAAATAGAGAGATATTAAACCATTTTGAAATTACAGCGCGAATTCCACAATAAAACTTGGTAGTTGGGTGACACCTGACAAACAAAAATTTTGATTTCAAAAGTCTCTGTCGTGGTCATTCCAACGGAAAGACCCATCTAACTAACTAACATTAAAAGCTAAATAAATCAAAATTAAAAAAAATGTTTAATTAAAATCAATAAAATTTTGGAAATTTTGAAATATTGACCCAACATAATTTAAACTTAACACGTTTATTTTTATTTATAAATGTATGACGTGACTTATATCAATAATTTTAATTTTCATAATGTATTACGTGACTCTAATTTTTATATATTTACGAAAAATATAGTTAATTAAATGTACTTTTCAGTAACTATTGTTCCAACTCTTCAAATTTAGACATACTAATAAATAAAATTTTAATATTTTCAAAGTATTTTATTAAAAATCTGTCATTGTCTCTCCTTAGAACTAAAATAAAAAAAACGAATTAATTTTGTCTAGATCACATAAAAATATATATTACTTAAAGATTTTTCTTTCACTGTTTTCAACTTTATACAAAATTTTAATTTTATATATGATACATGACATGATGAAATGTTTTTTGTTCCTTAATGACTACATATTTTATTTTATTTTATGATTGATATTATATTATAACTTTATATATTTTATTTCCTACTAAAATTTATATATATTTCATTCCTTTTTCCTCAAAACATATGGAAATACATTTCTAATAAATTGAAAAAAAAAATCAGGACACATAATAATAAAGTATAAGGTCATAAGAAGATTGTATTAAAACGGAGAAAAGGGGAAAAAACATAAATAGGAAAATTAAATAAGAAGCACTAAAATGCATTAATCTAAATTCTAAAAATAGTTGATGGAGTTGTTGAGTTTGTTCAAATTTTTTAAAGAACAAAAAAATCAAACTGGTTCCGATTAATGCTTCTTAGTTCAACGTGAAGAACAAATTAATGACATTATCTTGAATTAACTTGATTTACATTGTGCGAATAACAGTTCAGTCAATATACTGAAATTTATTTATAAATATTAAATAAGAGCTTTAGCATTTGATTTATAATATTAATAAGTATTACTATTTACTAAGTTATTATACTTCTTCTGATAAATATAAGATTACTTGTTTTAAAAAAATAATAGTGGAGGATATTGACTTAGTCAATTAAGAATTATTTAGCGTTGACAAAACTGAATGTCACCCATTTGCATGCTGCACACAGCAAGAAACACCCTTTCATCCTGAAAACTATAATGCAAGTGGTTTTTTACTAAAATCTTGTTGCAGAGTATAATTTCCAAACAAGGATTCATGTTTTTATATGCATACTGCACACCTTGTATTCATTTATTTTTGTAAGCAAGAAACACCCTTTCATCCTGAAAACTATAATGCAAGTGGTTTTTTACTAAAATCTTGTTGCAGAGTATAATTTCCAAACACGAAGGATTCATGTTTTTTATATGCATACTGCACACCTTGTATTCATTTATTTTTGTAAGCAGTAACTTTTTTGTTCTCATTTTCATTGACTTTGCAGACTTCACTTACACGATTTATATGATATTACACTCAGATAAAATTAAAAAAGAAAGCTCTTTTTTTTTTTTTTTTGGAAAAATTGCACCTTTGGGGAGACCAGTTAAATTAGTAAAGGGGCCTTATGAGGGACAGCCAGGTGCATCAGATTAAAGACACATAACCTTAGCAGGAGTTTTTCTCCTAAGTCAGTTTTCCACTCTGCCAACTTTTTTTCTCTCTCTAAAAAACTTATCATTGCTCTGCCTTCTCTCTAAAATATCACCCTGTTGAACCGTTCAATTTTTGAATAGGTGGTGCTCAAACGTTCATCGCGTCAAGGGCTCCGTAACGGACCGAACGGGTTCTTGTTCCAACCGGTAAGTCACTTTCTCCTTTCCTAACCGTTTCTAGTACCTAGGCCATTGCTATTTTACTGAATGCATGTCACTAGAAGTGTTCTACTTCAAATTTTCGGTAATTTCTAGCCTAAAAAGCTAATTCTATCATCATTGGGTGATTTATAGGGTGTCTTTGAATTTTACTGTGAGGAGCACTATTTAGATCATCCTGTCAAGTAAACTGTGAAGCTTTCCCGGTAAGGGGAGCTAATTATTTTTGTATGAATTTATTTTATACAAATATATCCAGGTTGAATGTTGAACTGGTGTGTTCATGTGAAGCTGTTCTACGATGTTAATTTTATTAGATAATTATAACTGAGACTGTGGAATTGTGTTTATGCTTTGGTGTTGAACTGGTACATGTGGCAATTATGTTTATAAATGTCTATGTTGAAATTAATCTGTTTCGGTTGAAATTGTTCTGGTTGGAGGGTTGGGAGTAAAGGCTTTGTGATAGCATGTATATGGGCAGGTACTGTTTAATGTTACTGTGAGGGGAAGGGTGATATATATAATTGGGTATTTAATGTCTAGAACACTGTAGGACAACTTTAATAACTTAGATAATTACATCATAACTTGTTAAAAGCCTTTCTTTGTTGGTAGGATAGAGGTGTCTTAAAAACCCGAGTTAGCACATCCCTGATCATAGAGTAGCCCTGGCCTGGTCCAATACGTTGTGACTAGTCATATGTGCTAACGTCGAAGGTGAGTCTGGTGCGTTCAAACATCTGAACCCTTTCCGGTGACCAATTGGGAGAAAGTAAGATCTCTATTATGATGAAAATTAGACAAATAGTTTACCAAATAAGAACCATGATATATATATATATATATATATATATATATGTATGTATATCATTAAATGTTATGGAAACATAAGTTAGGAAACGTATCATATATTATGATAACAATTTATATGATACGTTTCCTAACTTATGTTTCCATAACATTTAATGATATACATACATATATATATATATATATATATATATAT